AGCCTGGTTCTCTTTTGTCACCAAACACTTAACAGCTCTGGGGAAATGCTGCCAAACAGTTAAAAACATAAAGAGAGCCGCTATCCTAGACATGTGGGATCCCCTCTCTGTGTTTTGTCAAGCCATTTCATATAGAAAAAGGGCACAAGAGCCTTTCTTCTTCAGATCATGGCAGTGTTAATCTATCCCACAAGCATAACCACTAAAATCTATTATTAAGATCTGAAGTGGTAGTCAAATGGGAAAAATAAGCTCCATGAGATGTCTACAAGCTTTCTGCATGTTTTATCTGGAAACCAACATTTGAACCACGAAAAATAAGTCAAACCCAATGGCACAAAGACTTACTCCCAAACGTCAGTTTTAATTTAAAGCCATTGCTAAATTTAGTAAACTGCCTGCCTTACTGGATTATAGCCATACTCTATTTATGCACGCATGTGGCATTTATTACACTGTAATGGAAGAACAGAATGACCAAAATTTGCTTTATCATTTCTACTTCTAAAAAATCACCAAATGGTATAAGGTAAATGTTAACATGTCTGGCTATTTATTAAGAGGTTCTAGTCCACTCAGAAGACACTCAAAAAGGCCAGAGACCTACTTTTGAAAAGTCAACCATGCACTGGGAGAAAATTGTATGAGCAGCTTCGTGCATGTAGGCTTGGCCATGAATCACAATCAACAACTACTTTAATTATTAGCAATGCATTTGAATTAACTTTCTCATAATTTAAAAAATTTTCTGCAATATTAATTAGTGCAAAATATACCAGAGGGGGAAACTCACTTTAAACAGTTGGAACACCAGTGGCACTGTTAACTGCTTTCTGGGCAGCCTCTTTAGCTTGGTGGGCTTGTAGTACAGCTACAGCTTCATCAACCTGGAAAACAGGTGGAAGTGAGAACAAAAACCAGCTCAGGAAAGGAATGGGGGTGGGTGGGAATGGGGTTCAGAGAAATCCTGCCCTCAAACGAAAAACAGAATTAACTCTATTATCCATGTCCTTGTGCTATTTCATTTGAACTTCCCTTCTCAAAACCTTGGTAACAAAAACTATTAAAGAAAGTAGCAGCATAAAACACAGATGTTACAACTAGCTTGGTATAAAACCAGGCCCTGAATCTAGAGTCCACAGCTGAATAAGCAGGTAGATTATTCAAGCTATTAGTTTTCCCTTTCACATAATGGAATAAGGGTTATGATATATACAATTAAACTAGTATCTATAGCGCTTTTATTTAGGATCTCAATACTTGTAGAAAACACCATGTTAAAAAAAATCCCTAAAATAAAATGCCGTTTGGTCAAACTTACCTTAGAACGAAGAGACTCTGGAGACTCAAGCATATGAAGAAGTTCTGAATTATCAATCTCCAGTAACATGCCAGTGATTTTACCAGCCAATGTAGGGTGCATGGCTTGAATAAGAGGAAACAGCCTTTCACCTAGATCCAAAAAGAATCAAAAAGGCAATGATATGTGATACAGTAAACTGAGGTTTAAGAATCTATATAACTCCAGGGCAACATGTCTTTCTTGAGAAACTGGGTTTATAAATAACCCAACCCACAAAGTATTTCTTGGAAGTAATTTTGCCAGAATTAGGCAATGTTACTATTAGTTTGATAAACTAATCAAAACATCAAGTCTCCTAGCAACCCTCCAACTGGGTTTCTAAGGCTATAAATCTTAACAGGTGGTCACTGCCCATCTTTCTCCCATGCATACGGCTTGATGGGTTTAAATGCCATACTTTTAGTTAGCAGATGAATGATTTAACTGTTGGGACAGTTGTGCCACCTTAATCACACTGATTTAGACCATCCCACTGCTCACACTATAGAACAGTAAGTAGCAAAAAGTATATAAGTATACATCTTTCTAGTCTCTCTCACTAAATGACTGGGTCAGCAGCCTTAACTACTTACCCAACATCTGCTTTTGCTCTTGAGGAGGGGCAGATGCCAACATGGAAGCAGTCAAAGGCTCTTGACCTTGTACATGAACAGCAGACTAGAGAGAAAACAGGGAATTTCATAAAGTTCAGGAGTAATAAAAATCATTGACCACAGAAAAACATGCATAGAAGCTGAGTAATTTCAAGTAGTCATTAACACCTATGTACTGAAAATCTCCCAGGCAAAACGATTTTTCATCCTTTTTGTTTACAATTGCCAGACAAAACGAATTCTGATTTTAGACTGCTAGAAGTCTATCTTTTGCATACTGTCAATTAATGAGACATCCATCATGGAAAAATTTTCAGTGCCTAAAGCTTTCACGTCACACTTTCCATTTCTTTCATTTCAGCCAAAACCCATCGTTCTTATGAAGAAACCATCAGGTGTTTACCTGCTGCATGGTGACTTGTGGTTGTGCATTTAGGTGTTGCTGAGGATTGCGAACTCCCGCAGCATATTTATACTGCGGCACAGTGCGGACAGCAGGAGTAGCTGCTGCAGCAGCAGCAGCAGGACGGGGACCCATGGTCTGTGTTGATGTGTTAGCTGAAAAAGGAAAATATTATTTATTAATTTTTACTTTATTACTTCCAACTGACTATCAATTTTCACAGAAGAGTTAAAACTCACCAACACGCTGTGTTGACATGACTCGTGGAACTTGTGAAGAAGCTGGTCTCATGGTACTAAATGGTGGTCTAGGAGCAGCTGGGCGGATAGCACCGGGCATATTTTGGAATGCTGAATTTAGATGAAAATACATATTAATAGACATGTCCATGCTGTGTCCAGAATGTAGAACGTAATTCTAGACTCTATCAGCATATTTGTCTACTTGAAACCCCTAAGTCTGTACATGCAGCATTTCCCACAGTTATTCAGAACCTGGATATAAAATTGGGAGTTGCCTGGTGTGCATGTTCCCAGTCAACATCAAATGATGCAACACCACGGGCTCCACAGTAACAACTACCTGTTTGCACACACAGTGCTGTATTTTCTGCATTTTTGTCAGTGATTTTGCAGCTTAAAATTAGTGCAATACTAAAATACTATCAGGCTTTTATGTGTAAGAAGCTATGATGTGCCAAAGAAGATACGTATTAGGCAAACTATTCAAATTAAGAGTTACAGTGCTGATGGCTTGGAGTTCAATGGTAATGTAGCAACATATAGCTAGGAGTTTAAGGACAATGTTACGAAGATGTCTTATGTGTATTTTTTTTAGTAGAAAAAGCTAGAATCAAAATTAGGATTAGGGAAAGCAAGAGTTAATAGCCCATCACACTAATTGTAGTTTCACTTTCTCCAGGTACACTATTTCCTAGGTCTACAAGTCAGTTAATTTGCTTCAGATACTTTTAGCCCAAATTCAAAACCGCAATTAAAAAGTAAAGGCTTACGATGAGGTCTGGCACCCTGAGCAGTCCAGCGAGGACTTGGTCTTAATTGAGCAATTTGGCTGGGAGGGTAGTACGCAGCACGGTTCTGAGTCTGTAGGAAAAAAAGGCAAGAAAAAGATCAGCTTAAAAAATAAAAGCAAACCATTCTCCAAGAGAACACAAGCTTCCCAGTCCCTAAAACTTACCTGTGGAATAGCTGCCATGAAGTAACCTGAAGGAGGTGCTGGCTGGTAGGGGTTGATCACGGGGTTGGGCACAGCTCGGACACTCGCCATTCTCTGCATGTACTGGTTAGTGAGGTGAGCCTGGCGCTCTTCTTTGCGCTGAGCTAAAGCTACATATAATGGTTTCGTGGCCACAATTCTACCATTCATTTCTGTAACTGCTTTAGTGGCTTCTTCAGGGGAGGAGAAACATACAAAACCAAATCCTTTGCTACGACCACCCTCCATCATAACCTATTGAGAGAGAAACAAAGTTAACAGAATGAAGCAAACACATTGTAAGAGTTACTACCAATATCAAATGTAGGCATTAAACAATCCTGATTAGTCCTTTATTCTCATAAATTTTCCTACATACTGCATAGAAAAGGGCCAATGTGAAAAATAGTTCCTAAACTAAGACACCCAATATAATATGCCAATAATATAATATTCCTGTCTTAAATTATGTATAAGATACCATTCTCGAGAAATTATTCTGTGATCCACATACAAAGTGTTGAGTCAATCATGGGAAAGACTGAAAATGAGGGGCAGGCGGGTCATCTTTCAGCCTTTTTTCCTGTTGAAATTTGTTTTTCCTATCAAGTGTCACCACTAATGACTACTTCCCCTCCAAAATAATTTACTATTTTAACCTCCTCAGCAACTGACAGTTCTTAAAAGCATGGTTAAAGAATAAAAATTTTTCTTTAAAGAGCATGCATGCTTCACACAACAGGTTTATGGATCTAGACAGAAATCACCCATCAGAGACCTCCCTAAGTCAAAGGAGTCTATCGGAAAAGCCAAGCAGATATGGCCGCATGCCCTTGCCTAGAATATGAGGCCACTCCAGAGCAGCACACTTTTGAGACTTTCTAAATCTCAAAAGACATCATGTACACACGATTCTTAGAGAACAGTATCTAGCATCCAGAGCAGGATTTCATAACAATTTCCACATCGGATAGTACACTGCTCACGTCTTCATCTCAAGCAAAATAAAGATATGTTTCTATTGCTAGAGCTACAGTAATATCAAGTTTGACTACATAGGTTAAACTGTGATAAAATACAAGACTAATGAGAAAACTTTCAGAGTAACTATAATAGTTCCCTTTAAAACCACCTTTAACCAGTAAAATAAACTAGTTCAATGAGAATACGGAACACTGCACTGTCACAAGAAGACAAGACTGATCAAATGCAACCTTTCTTAGAACATAATTTACACACTGCCATCAGTAAAAAAAACCCCAAAAGCCTCTCAAATCCTATATTTAAAACCTGACTGTATGCTTTTAAAGTAATGAGGATGGACTTGAGAAAAGCAAGCTATTTTTAAAAATCACATGCTTTACCTTTGCGCTAGTGATTGTTCCAAATGGAGAAAACTCTTTGCGAAGACGTTCGTCATCAATGCCATCATCAAGATTTTTCACATATAAGTTAACACCCTAAAAGATGAGGAAAATCATTATGGTATTTGAGTACACTTTCTCTCATTTGGTTGTTTCTTCTCTTAGCAGGAAAGAATGTAAAATATGTTTCATCATGTCTTATTTTGCTTCTTCAGAATTAAAAACAAACCTGGTATCTGGTGATCCTATCTTGCTTCATCTGCTCAAATTTGCGCTTAAGTTCTGTCTGTCGTTCCACTTTTTTCTGAGCTCGACCAACATAAATTTGTTTTCCATTGAGCTCCTTTCCATTCATCTCATCAACAGCCTTAAAGTAACAAATAATTTACATTTAACAAACTTTAAGGAAACAAAAAGCTATTTACTTGCATTTGTCAACATAAAAAAAAAAACCCCAAAAACAAAAGCTCCAAATTCCAACATACTATTAAATTACCAATGGTTAAAGAGATTGATCCCAAAATGAAACTTTAAAATATTTTCCAAGTAATAAACAAAGTAAAACTTTAACAAATTTATTTTCCCAAGTAACCATCAATGGAAGGAAAAACATCAAAAGCCAAAGGTATGATTTTTCAATACAAAAGCAACTAATTTTAACCCCACAGAATGCAGAAAAGCAAAGAAAGTGCCTGTCAGTAATGGAAATCTTACTTTCTGTGCATCTTCATGCCTCTCGAAGCTCACAAACCCAAAGCCTTTGGACTTCCCACTTTCATCAGTCATTACTTTCACACTTAAGGCAGGTCCTAAAAATATGTATTTACATGATTAAAATATTTCCAGTAGCAGCAGGAAACATCAATATACCAATGTAAAGCACAAGAATATTTAAAGAAGGATTTAATAGAAATTTTCAAAGATTCCAGAAACTGAATTCTGTTTTAACTACACCTCCCCCCCCCCCAGGAAGTTCTCATGTGAGTCTAGATTTAGAATCAGGGATACCTGCAAGAGTCAGCTATCAATTCTGACTAGGCAACAACTGGATAGAGCCTCCAATATAAGGAACTTTCTTTCCCCCAGCCAAAATTTGTGTTTCTTGTCATAAGATGAAAAGTACTGAATGCAAAAATTTTAAGACTTCATGTTCTAGGCATGGCCTGGTGTTTCTAAAGACAATGTTCGCTATATCAAGTACAAGATTCTAACAAAAGAGTGGCTAAGAAATAAATGCTGTTAAGCGCAGTCTCCTGTAGCTCAACCCTATGAACAATGGGTTTGAATCTCATCCCATCATGTACCATCATCCCTGATATACTTGAGCCACTGATGCAATTGTTGCGGGTCATCATTTTTGCCAACCCTCTACCTATCCAAGCATGTTTTTAGAAAGACTGGCCTCTCCTAATATTCTCCAAGTATAGGAGGTGAAATTTCACTATCCTTGCCTCTTAATTTAAGGAACAAAAATTGTTTGTTTTTAATTTTTCACCTCTTATCAAAATGGTCAAGGTTTTTTTAACCTTAAGAATTAAGAGTCCAAAGTGGCTTGCTAGTTTGGCAATTATAGGATTAGATTTCCTGATTCCTTTATCTCTTCTAATCCAGTCTGATGTATAAACTTGGCACATATTTTTTAAAAAGGAAAGAGTTTAATTTACCTTTAAGTTAAAGCTCATTAATGATATTTTAGGAATAAATTCAGGACACTGCTCTGGAAGACCACTGAAAAATTTTAATCTAAAAATGGTAGGGCTGCCCAAATATTTTCAGTCTTTGACACTATAAGCATACAAACTTAACAAAAAAATCTTAAAAAAAAATCTTCCTGTGTAATCTAATGCTTTTAATTTAACACTTTACATAGACTGACTTAATCCAAGTTAACTAAATACTTTAAAAAGCCTCATTTATTCATCCTTTCAATATATTGCATTAATCAAACCATTACTTTAAAGTATAAAAAAATGTAATTCAGATACATTACCAAACTTGCCAAAGAGATCCTTAAGGCGCTCATCATCCATGTCCTCTCCAAAATTCTTGATGTAAACATTGGTAAACTCTTTAGCCCTAGCTCCGAGTTCTGCTTCTCGTTCTTTGCGAGACTTAAAACGTCCAACAAATCTAACAAAATAGTTAAGGAATAAAACATTAGATTCTGGTGAGCTCTGGTGGTCTAGTGGCAAGAAGCTGTACTGCAGTCCCTGAGGTGCACGGTTCAAATCCACAAGATGCTCTGCCGAGGAGGGACAATCTCCTCCTATACCAGTCAGATTGCTTTGACGGGGCGCGTGCGTGCGCGCGTGCACACACACACACACAGTTAAAAACACACACACACACACACACACACACACAGTTAAAAACACACACACGCACACACACGCGCACACACACAGTTAAAAACACACACACAGTTAAAAACACACACACACACAGTTAAAACACACACGCACACACGCGCGCACACGCACACACGCGCGCACACACACACACACAGAGTTAAAAAACAGAAACATTAGATTCTGTTTTAAAAGTTTAGAGAATAGGGTTTTTTATAGATTTTTTTTTAACTGTCCCAGAGAATGGAAGACTATCTAATAAAAAGTACGCCATAAAAGAAACTGGGCATTAGTTAGAAAATTTATTAAGAACAAATCTCTTAACCACTATCCCAACACCACTCTTCCCTCTCAACCCAACTAGGGCTAACGAGATTATCCACACAAATGAATGATGGGGGAGGTTCACTATGCCAATAAAAAGCAGCACTGTGAACCAGTCCATTCCAGCTTCAGAGCCTAGATATCTGATCACCCTTCCATCCCAAATCTACATTATAACACGATCTCCTAGATAGATATTCTTCTATTCCCAGATGGTTTTTGTTATATTTTAAGTTCTCGTTCAGTAGATCTGAGATGGAAATACTAATTCTCAGAAGAGAATGAACTGGTCCAAACCTCTAGCTATTACCAATTTACACACAAAACAGCCCAACATCTAAATACTTAAAAGAGATGCCAACGCTTAAATAGTTTTGTTTTTTAAAAAAGCTATTTTTCCTAAGAATTTATTTCTATTACTAGGGAATTGCTGGTTTTCTTAAACTGTGCCAGTTCATTATAAACCGGCGAAATAGTCTCTTAATCATGCAGCTGACACTGAACTAAACAGGAACCACCACCTGCTGTGACTCTTATGTACAGATGCCACATGTTGGGTGATTTCTTAGAAGGGTTCAGTGAGGTAGTGGAATCTTAAGAACTGTCAAACCCAATCAATATACATGCTCTTACTGCAGTTTTTACCTACATACACTCACACACATCTCTGACAGCAAAAGCGAATTTGCCCAATTGGCTACATAAAATCCACTGGAACGGAAAATAAAAAGCTATCATTCTTTAGAGTCAAAAAATCTCTTATTTTAACATCCTCTAATAGAAATAGTTCTGTATATGAGCTTTTTTGTTTTAAAAAAATAAGTATTTCAGGAAAGATCAAAATGTTACTTCCTTACAGTTATCAATAAAATGGTTCCGCTCATGACTGTGGTTATTGTCACCAAAAGCTTAGATGTTTCCTCTAAGGTATCACATCAACTTTCCACTGGTGTAAAAAGGCAATATGCTTTTTTAAAGCTATGTGACACGTATCCTTTGGCCCCCCCAATCATTTTCTACAACAAATGTAGTATTTTTAAAACACAAAAAAGGAAACAGTTGATTGCTCTGAAAACATATACCCCTCACACCAACACATTATCTTGCCTCACAAATTAACCTTCCTGTCTGAGGTTCCTTAATTATAAAATGGGCTTAAACCTTTAAAATTATGATGGTAAATTTATGTATGGATTTCCAGTTTTTCCTAAAATTATCATCTATTTGTTCTTTCTTTTCTGTTTCAGTATTGACCCAATTAAAAAGTTCACTATTACTTGCAGATCACAAATACTGAAAAATACTGAATGTGGGGAAAATATTAACTGTAAAATTTTAAAATCAGTCCTAAAGTATAACTGTTCACACTTACACTTTGCGATCATTTAGAAGCATCCCGTTCATTTTTTCAATAGCTCTTTCAGCTGCTTCCTGTGTCTCAAAATGCACAAATCCATAGCCCTTGGAACCATTTTCATCACAAACCACCTGGGGAAAAATATGTACACTTTTTTCATTACTTGCTACTGATTTACTATACTCCCAGTGTTCAGTTATAACCAACCATCTACCACCTCCTTAGATATTAGGAAATAAGACATATACTAACAAAAGAGCAATTATTACTGTATGTCAGTGAATAAATGCAATTTTGCTTACCTTACATGAGAGGATATTGCCAAATGCGGAAAATGTATCATACAGTGCTTTATTATCAATGGATTTGTCCAAATTTTTAATGAATATGTTGCCCACTCCACTTTTACGAAGCGATGGATCACGCTGAGACCACATTATGCGTACTGGCTTGCCCTTTATAACATCAAAATTCATGGTGTCCAAAGCACGCTCCGCTGTAACAAGGAATTGTCAGAGTGAGTAACTTTTAAAAGTTCTCTTTACTATTAAATAATATCTAGGAGGATTGGACACATGGTCCAACTCTCAAGTAATAACATCTAGACAGTCAAAACCATCACATATCACACATTTTTCTGTATTTAAATTATATTACAGAATTATTAAGAAATCAATTTCTCTTTAACATTAAATAGCATTATTTCCCATAATTCTCATTTCTGAGGGGAAAATGCTTAATACCACAAAGGATAGGCAGAATCCTTAGTGGATTTACTGCCTCTGAAAATCTGCTGGAAGACAGTTGTGGCTGTTCAAACTCTATGGTACTCAAACTATTTAAAATTTTTAAAATGTTAACTTGATCAGTATTAAGATTTCAATCAAGTCTAATGCAATGTTTGGCATACTGAAATGCCAAGTGATCAGATTTTTTTGAAGTAATATGCTTGAACATTCATAATTCAATGATTTCAATGTTTGACCCATAAAAATCTTAACTATAAAATTTTATCTGAAAGTGGTAATACTTAATTGACAATTTTTTTAATGTACTAGAAAAATCTAGGCCTTATTAGTGTCCATAGGGTAAATTTAACACATATTTGTAACAGTAAAGTTAAAACTTACTAGAAAAATATAACCTAACATGCAAACCAAACTCAGTTCATTGCTAGTGAGTGAATTCTGACTCACAGCATCTCATCTATCAACTACTAATCCAAGAAATATTTATACCCACTTTCTCAATTTCGTTCCAGTGTCAGACATTAGGAGGACAAATTTTCTAGCTGCTATTTTTTTACAAATGAAAGTTCTAGGTTCTAAAAGATAGTGCTAATCAGCTGTCAACTCATCAATTGACCACACCCACTCAGCTCTCCTAGTTTTAGCTGACTTGGCTTGAGCTTGTGAATGAGTCACCTCTTCCTATTAAATTGAAACTGGTCAATTTTCAGAAACTATTACACAAGTTCATCAATAAAAAGCAAAAAACTCAACCTCACAACTATTTGGAAAAATCACTATGAACAGAAAAAAAATTCTAAGATGCAAATATATCTTCCCTGCCTCCATTTAAATATCTTTAGATCTGTTTTAAAAAAAAAAAACAAAAACATTAAGTTCAATCTTCATACTCAAAAACTTTGAAAGATAGCTTGTTTTGGTTTTTCCCCCCAGATTTATAACTATGCTTGAAAAGAACATTTTACAACTACCCAGTCTTCAGACTAGGATTACTTGCCCAAATTCTTTCCTATTCTCTAGAGTTCCTGCTCAGAGAGCAAAAATATTAAAACCTATAATGACATTTACAACTTCTGATTTACTCAAAATCTCAGTATGAATTTTACCTAATGAAAAGCAATTCACTAAATAACCTCAAGTCTAATGAATGGATTTAAATTCAAATCTGTGAGGTTAACCAGTAACTGTAGTAAATGCAAAACTGGGCCATCAAATCAAGTTTATCTGACTTCTGAACAGCCAATTCTGACAACTGCCTTTAGGTGATCTGATTTAACAGGTCATATTTTGTAAACTCTTAAATCATTTTACTATTTTATTCTATACACAATATCTCCCTAGGATTGACAACTACATTGAAGCAGTATTTTTTTTTTAAAGCTCCTTGAACTTGAATTAAATGACCAGGAGTGATCGCAGTTAACGAATATAAATTTCAAGAGCCAAAACTGCCATAAATGTCAAGTTAAACCCTTCAAACCTACAGCAACTACTTCGAAACGGGAGACAATGTAAATAAATTATCACTATTATGAAAGTAAATAAATTAGAAAACATTGCTTTCCAAAAATGGTATTTTCGTCAACACCCTCTGCTAGCTAGCAATTCGTAGCTGGGACATGCACGTCTCGGTCTTGGTTTGGAACTCCAGACGCAGCAGTAACTGATGCGTTCTCAAGAATGGAGTGGGGCGACCCCCCAGTAGCGACCACCTTTCACCTAAAGCCCGGTGGCTCCCCCAGGCGACCGGGTCAGTTGCCCGTCCAGGCCTCGGGCCTGCGAGGTTCCAGGGTTCAACACGTGGTTGAACGGAATTGCACTTCCTCCCTTCCGGGGTCGCGGGCCAGAGCCCCAGCTGGTGCGAGCAACTCCGCTTACTACCGGGGGGGGGGATCGGAGCCCGGCGCCCCCGAATCCCGGGGTTGCTGGCAGGAGAGCCCAGAAAGGACCGACTCTCACCCACCCTCCTCCCGGCACGTCATCACCCTAAAGTTTGAGAGTGGCAGAGGGCCGAGAAAATGGTCGCAGAGGAGGAAGTGGCCGGGCGTGCGGCTGCCGGGGGCGCGGGGTCTCCACGGACCTGGGATCATGGCTCCGGGCGCCGCGGCCGGGGGTCCACGCGCCCGAGCCTCTCCCTCGCCGGCCCTCCGGGGGGTGACAAGCCCTCCGGCCCCCTCCCGCGAGCACGCCGGCCTAGTCCGCCCGCCCGGCCGGCTCCCTGCTTACCGTCCGCCGGCTGCTGGAAGTTCACATACGCGTAGCCCAAGGAGCGGCGGGTGATCATGTCCCTGCAGACCCGGATGGAGAGGATGGGCCCGGCCGGGCTGAACTTCTCGTAGAGCATCGCCTCTGTCACGTCGGGGTGTAGGTCGCCCACATAGAGCGAGGCCATGGGATAGCTGGGGGCGCTGGGGTTCATCTCGGCACGGCTGCCAGCAGGGCCACAGGCCACGACCTTTCCGAGAGAGGAGAGCGAGTGTTAGGGCCGGGGGCCGGAGCCGGGGGGAGGGGAACGGGGGCAAGCGCAGAGGGACAAAAATCACCCGGAATCGAGAACTACCCAACGGCCTCAGTACCGGGTCGATCCGCTGTCGCTGGGTGCTGAATGCCGGCTGGGGAGCGAGGCTGGCGGTGTCGGGTCCTGGCAGCGGGAAAGGCCTCGCGAGTCTCTTCGTTCCTCCTTGGAGCTGCTGCGGGGCCGCGGGCGGGCGAGTCGGTCTCGGCTGCTTCACCGGGTTATTTATAAAAGAGAAAAAAAAATAAAAGTCTCCGGCGGGGGAGACGCGGATTTTTTGTAAATTTTTTTTTTTATTTTTTAAAAGGCTTTTTTAAATTTTTTTTGGATTTTTTTAATAATAAATGTGTGTTCCGAGCCCGGAGCACACACTCCGCACTCTCCGCACTAACCGCCGGGGATAAGGGGAAGAACCTCCTCCTGCACCCACTACTTATACCCCCCACCGCACTCGCCCCGCCCCTCGCGTCTGACGCCTGGACCCTACGCGAGCGTCAGTGCCGGAGGAGGCGGAGACTGGGAGGCAAAGGGGAGGAGGAAAGAGCCTAAAGGAAAGGAGAGGTAGGTGTCGGCGGCGGCTGCAGCGGGTGTGCGGGGAGGGGGGGGGTGTCCTGTGGAGATGCAGGGCGGGGTTTTTGCGCACGCGCTGCGGCCTGAGGGGCGGGGCCCGCGGTGCGGAGCGCCCGCGAGAGCGGGGAAGGCTGACTCGCGGGCGGGTCCGGGTGAATTAGAGTGGGAAGGCCCCTCCTGGCACACCCCGCCCCCACCGCCATGCGGGAGAAGCGTTAACCCGTCACCGCGCCCGTGGGCGGTGCGCAGAGCTTCCGGGTTCCGTAACGCTAACCACCCTGCACGTGCTAGCGGTCGCCGCTGCAAAGCCCACTCTTTCCCTTTTGGTCCATCCTAGTTCTTTCCCCCTTCGCTCCCTAGGGCCGCCGAACGCCAGGGGCCCGGCATGATCTCGTTAAGACCCAGTTCCCGAAACGTGCATAAAAAGAATACGGCTGCGCCCCATTTCTCCTACCCGAACCGCACTACGAGTCCCAGCGGGCAGCGCCGCCACGCGCCCTGGCCGCGGAAGCGGTGCCTGCTGGGAGCTGGAGTCCCCAACGGCCGTGTGGCTCGCTGACCCTAACTGGCCGCGGGTCCTGGACACCCGCCCGGGAGCACAACCGTCTTAGGCACCAAGTCCTCGCACCCGCCCAGTGGGCTTTCTGAAGCGCGAGGTGTGGGTCAGTAAGGGCCCTTGGGTTTCTTCCTCTAGTTTCAGAGGCCAAGACTTGAGACTCAGTCACTGACCAAAGTGGGTTTAATTTGGGGCTACTGTTTGGGAATCTTTTTTTCCCCATCTACTTTTTAAAAAAGAATCGGGCCACTGAGATGATAGCTGGGTTGCAGTAGTTAACTCTTGCTGTGTCTACCTTTTTTAGGTAGAAAACAACTCGAGAAAAAGATTTCTTCCGTATGAGTTCTGTATTTTACTGGTACTATGCAAAATTAGGGGTAGTCTAAAATGCGGTTTTTAAGGCTTTTGAATAGTTTTGCATATTCATTGTGTCTTTACCAGGAATTTTAGATTTTAAAATAAATGGTCACACACAAAAGTGATATTAACATACGAAGTCCCACTTTAAAGTAGTAGTGTGCTTTCCAGTTTGGCATAAATATAATACCATTTGTGCCTAATACCAATCCTGCATAGGAGATGAAACAAGTAATAATAAATTTATTGTGAAGAAGTTAAATGATTGCCTAATTAATGGTTTTATTCATGTATTAAAACTTAAGACCTGCCAGCTATGTTGCCAGATGTGTGCTAGGTACTTTATAAGTATTCCCCTTAAAATTTAAACCAACAGAACTCTGTGTAAATGCTATTTTGTTCCTGTAATGTTTTTTAAAAATGTTGCTTCATGTGCTTTACTAGGCAAAAGAGCAAAACTTTGTACTGCATTGTGTAGACTCATCTATTACTAAATAACAAATCACTGTTCATTCTATTAGAACTCGATGGTAAAGATAAATCTATCAATATATATTTTTCTTTTCATTCTCCCTGCCCAACCTCCCCCTCCAGTTCGCTCTTCTCTTTGAAAAGTAAAGGAAAATTCTTTCATTGTTACACAATCCCTACCCCCAAGTCCACTCCACTATGCAGTCTTCATTCTGGACTCCTGTCATGACAGTAGTACCTAATCATATATCCCTCATCTGTTTCAATGCAGTATACATTATTTATCCCCTCTTTCTCAGTCTCCCCCCAACCTCGATGTCAGTACTGTTTTACAACAGTGGCATTATGCAGTATTTGTCATTTTGTAACTGAAGATATTTCACTCAGCATAATGTCCTCCTGGGTGACCCATTTTGAATAATATTGCGTGAGTTTTTTGTTTTTCAGTGCAGCATAGTATTCTATTGTGTGAGTATACCACACCTCCTTTTCCCATGCGTTTGTTGATGGACACTTAGGTTGTTTCCAACTCTTTACTATTGTGAACAAAACCACAATAAACATGGGTGTGCATGTATCTGTTTGGATGGTGGTTATGGTTTCTTTGGGGTGTATCCCCAGTAGTGGAATTGCTGGGTCAAATGGTATTTTTTTGCAGCTTTTTGAGAAAGCGCCATACTGCCTTCCATAGTAGTTGCACCATTTTACACTCCCACCAACAGTGAATAAGTGTTCCAGTTTCCCCATAACCTCACCAGCATTTGTTATTTGCTGTTCTGCTAAATTTTGCTATTCTTGGTGGGGTCAGATGATATCTCATAGTTGTTTTCAATATATTTATTGAATAACTGGTGAATGCATTGTATCTATAATTATAAGAAGATAAATGACAAATTTCTGTCCTGAAGAGACTTATGATGCTGAGCTCTCTGGTAATCATCTAAACATTAAAATTAGAACAATAAATTTCTTGTTTCAGTATTTGATTAGACTCACAATTTTCTCTCACACCTTAAAATTTGTCTTCTTAAAAATAAGAGTGGGTGAAGAATATGCAACAATGAAAAAAATAGTTTTTATAAAAAAGGAGTAGTAATTCCATTACTGTAGTTGAAGAGAATATGATTTATTGAACAAACTATATGAAAAACTAGATATAACAAGGAAGGTTGTTGTTAATGTATTGTCAAATCAAATGTGACTCATAGAGATATTTTGAACTACAGATTAGAACCTTGCTCTATCCTATGTCATCCTAACTACTTCTGATATACTTGAGCCCGTTTTCACAATCAACCATATTAATCTGTCTTATTGAGGGTTTTTCTCCTATTCTAACCCTTCAGTTTTCCAAATGGAGGGTCAACAAAGGAGAGGAAGACCCTTAATCAGGTGAATTTGACATGGTGATTGCCACAATGGGCTCTAGTGTGGCAGGAAGTGTAAAGACAGCAAAGGATAGGATGGGGTTCAGATCTTTTGCTCATAGGGCTGCTATGAGTTCTATTCAACTCGACAACACCTAACAACAACATTCGATGGCATCTAACAACAACAACAACATACCCAATTCATAGATTAGTTAGTACTTTGAGAAAGGATCTGGTTCAGGACTTTCCTGTAGCTGTGAGTTTTCACATTCAGTAGATGAGATTGTTGTATTTTATGGAGGTTCAGCTGAGTGTATGTCTGAGGACTGAGAAACAAAGTCTGTCCCTTAAAAGCAATGAGCGGCCAGAGTCAGTAGAGGGGAGTCAGATCAGCAGGAAACAACAATGGGCTCTGGAATTGGAATGAAGAACTTATTCCTTTATTCTATTCCTTTCCTCTCTATTCCCAACCAGTTCTTTTCTCTCAAATTGTCTTTCAGGTCAAAAGTTAAAAACAAAACAAAACAAAAAATCCCCTCTCTTAATGATAATCCCCTCTCTAGTTTATTCTCTTTGTACTTCCCTTTAGCTTTTTGTTTCCACTTTATTATCTTCCCTTAATTCCTCAACCCACTACAAGTTACCTCTTCTTGCAGGTCCTATTTAAATTTCCCTTTCAACAGTCACCAGTGTTGTAGGTGCTGTCAAGTTGAGTAGTACCCTGTAATCCACAGATCTGAACCCTGTCATCATTATCATCTCTGATACACTTGAGCCCATTCCTGCAGTCACTGAGTCAATCATTTCCTACACTGACCCTCCACCTTTCCAAGCATCATGTCCCCTTCCAAGAAATAGCCTCTCCTAGCAACATGCTTGCTGCAGAAAGTTAAACACTGCAGCCCTCAAACTGGTTTGCATTTCGATGTCAAGAAAACAAATACCCTTTCCATTGGCAACATCGTGATAGACAAGAGAAAGGATTGAGACAGTCAAACAACTTTATCTTACTTGGATCCACAATCAATCCTTGTGGTACCAGTAGTCAGGAGATCAGGAGACCTATTGCACTGGGAAAGTGTGCAGTCAAGGACCTCTCCAAATCTAACAGTGATGTCAGTTTGAGGACTAAGATGCACCTGGTTCATGCCAGGGCCTTTTCAGTTACTTACTATGTGTTTGAGAGCTGGACAATGAATAAGGATTGTTAGGTCTTCACACTGGACATAAGGCCAAGGACTCAAGGAAGAGACCAGAGAAAAAAAAGGAAGCTTTATTAAGGGGTTTCCCCATTGGGATTCCTTGGTCTGCAGAGAGAGAAACAGGCAAAGGGACAGACCAGGGAAATACCACACCCTAAAGTGGATTACAACAACAAAGTGGATTAGGGCAGGTTGTTTTTGTTGGGTTTTTTTTTTATTTTAGAGATTTCTTTCAAAAGGGGGGGGGGTACCGCATCGCTTCCCCTGCCCCAGTCCATGACCCCGCCACCAGCTCTGAACTTTGGGGCCCTTGGGCCAAAGGCCCTCGAGCCAGGACTTAAAACAAAAACAAAAACAAAACAAAACAAAAAAAACCACACGAAAGAACAAAAACACATAGACCAAATTTACA